GTTTACTTATTTGAAGCTCTCACTACTTCCTTGATGCTCTCACTACTTCCTTGATGCTCTCACTACTTATTTGAAGCTTTTACTACTTACCTGAAGCTCTCACTACTTCTCCGAAGCTCTCACTACTTCTCTGAAGCTCTTTTAGCTCTACCTACCCTCACCTATTGCATGTATATCGCACGCGTATACAGTAGATTTAGAATGATGAGCATATGGCTTTAGAATGTGACACGCGGAACGGGTGATATGGCTATTTATACAACTGTAAATTTGTGAGAAAATCAGTAGGAGTCACGGGGAGGATTCGAATCAGTTCACTTGGTTCAAATCAAGACCACTACCACCCCGACAGGGTCAAAAGCAATGCAGCCGGGGATGCCATTGAATCCTCTAGGGGTTCTGAGGCTTCCACTGAAGTCCAGTCATTGGAAGCCTCAGAGAACCTCTAAAGGATTCAGATGAATCTCAGCTAGTATTGCTTTTGAGCATGTCGTGGTGTAGTGGTGTAGGGCTTGGGCTTGGGAGTAAAATGTGTGCAGGGTTCGAATCTCATTAAAGTGTTTACTGGTCTGTCCAACGTGGAATATATTTAAAAGTTTTACACGGGAATTTGTAAATACATCATTACAGTTATTCGGGGATTTTTGTTATCAAATATTTTTTTAAAATATCAACATTCTTAAATGCTTCATTGCTGTCACAAAACTTAAGAATTTATATCGATTTGCTATTTTAGTTAAATAAAAAAAAATTATGCTCCCTTTTTTCAAGCAGAAGAAAGTAGCTCGAAAGATTTAAAAATTTGTCATGTTGACCAGACCACACACTAAAAGTTGAAGGGACGACGACGTTTCGGTCCGTCCTGGACCATTCTCAAGTCGACTGAGAAACTTTGTCATTCAAAGTCTTAGGATATTTTAAGGTGAAAACTATACGTTATATAACACTGATATTATCATAACTATGTTCTGGAATACACATCATTAAATCCCTCGAAAACATTAATAAAACACAAATTGTTTTGTTCTACGAAGATCGACAGAGTTAGCATGATTCAACACTTTTATTCTGTATACAGAAAAGCTGAAATTGTTTTCAATTTTACAAAATAACGCATCAAAAAACTGTAAGGAATTATTTTCTATTCTGTCTAGTGTGGACCTATTATTAAGTCTAGAGCTAGATTATTTTATTCTAATAAAAATATGTTATAGCCATATAAACAAGAATTGACGAAACCACTTTGTGATAAGAAAATTTTTTATATATAATAGTTTTACTTCATAGAACTGTATGTAAATTATCTATATTTGCCCATAAACTGAACACATCAACATAACAAAATCATGTGGTATTAGGATAAAAAATATTGATTATTAATTTTTTTCATAGACTTCTTTATATAAATTACCTAGAAATTTAGAAAGACTCTTGCTCCTGGCTGTTCCAATTCATTATTGTAATTCATGGTAATTCATTATTAAATCAAAATTAAAATTAACGACACACGATTTTATCAATTTAAATATAGACACTGGAACAGGCAAATCATATTTTTCAATAATTCAAGTAAAAATCTTAGTTAATCATCCATCAGGACTTTAATTTAAAAAAAACGTTACATCAAAGCTCATTATTTTCAAATGACAAAAGTCTATATTTTTACTGATCAACCAAATCTAAATAATTTGTTATTTTTTAATTAAAAACTTTTCTTACATGAGGGTATAAAATTTGGACGAACCACTCAAATATTAAAAAAAAATATAGATTGAATGACCTGTTTTATGTTTTTTTGTTTTTAAGTTAATTAGCTGTAAACTTTATTTATGTTAAGTTCTAATTACACTAGGAATAAAGTGGAGCTGGAGTCATTAACTGTGGGTCTGTGAGCGTGTAGTCGGTTGACTTGATTTCTAGTGTATCATCTTGTTAAGACGACACATTATAAACCGATAATCAGCAGAGGTTTCGCACATCGAGGATCGTGAGGTTGATGACGGCTGAGCGTCTTGAGTTGCAGCTGCTATCATCCGGCTGTCTACGTAGTTGGGCTAGATGGGAGAACCTCGTGAACCTTTAGGTCAAAAGATTAAGGACTTATACAAAAGATTAAGAACACCGCCATATCTCTAGTATTAAAGAATGTTCTGAGGTAAAATTGACGAAGAATGCAAAGATTCCCTACAAGACTTCTCCACTGTTATTGTCATTTATTTATATATTTTTCATTTATTTGACATTTGTTTTGCGAACATATATATGTTAGACACCTGACCCTCAGGTCTGAAAATAAAAACTAACAAATTTCTGACGCTCCAGGATGACTGAAACGTCGCCAGATCTTTATTTTCAGACACTGGTTGATGAGTTTAATTCTCAGTCACGTTATTGTCACGTCCTATCCTACTATATATACCTTTCTGTTCTTGTGGATATTCAAGTGATGTTGCATATGCAATATACAATAAATACCTCCTCTCATGTGTGGGATTATTAAATAAATAAAAATACACGTGGTTTCTAAACTTGATTTATAACCCAAAAAATAAAAAAGGAAGTAAAGATCTTACTTGGTCAGGTCAATAAATACCAGAAGCTTACCTACTTTTTATTGGACTTTCACAAATGATCTAAGTATCTAGTTCAGTGCCACAGTGCCACAGTGCCACAGTGCCACTCGATACTTGCTTTTCTTTTTTTTACTAATAAGATCTGAGCTTAGTTTGAGGTTTGAACTGACCATCTCTGGATGGCGCTCACTCACACACACACACACACACACACACACACACACACACCACACACAACACACACACACACACACACACACACACACACACACACACACACACACACACACACACACACACACCCACACACACACACACACACACACACACACACACACACACAAACACACACAAACAACACACACACACAACACAACACACACAAAAGACAAACACACACATACACCTTGTGACCTTTACACTATTATAAGTATCCGAGCACACAAAATTATTGCTGTGCAGTAGTGTAGATGAACGTGTATGTGTAGCTGCGTGTTTGAGCGAACTCTCACGTGTGCGTGTTCGCGTATGTGTGTGTGTATGTGTGTGTATGTGTGCGTTTGCAAATACTCCAGTATCCTATCCTGAGACTCAAACTCCGAGCTAGAGAGTAACCAAGGTCACCAAACATGCTCGTCCACCGATGTCCATCGTAGTCCCCCGAGCGCCAGTCCTCAGACAGCCTTATGTGTATCACGAAGCCTCAGTATCTTTGACCGACAGGTGCCGGGCGACGGTGGGTAAATAGTCAGAACTCACATATATACACCAGACGGACCGACCATACCGGATCCACAAGGCCAAGAATGTTTCCGGTGGCCAGTTTTTGCCAGTCTGCTGAGTATGTGAATATTTTAATCTTCTGATCCTGCCTTCGGCAAGC